CTTATAAGTACAAGAACTATTATACATCCGCTACTTCTCAAGACCCTATTCCCTACTCACTATTTATAGGTTTAGGAAGTCTTGTTCACTAGGCAAAAACAATCGTAGGAAGAATTCTATTCTAATCGAATTTTATTTCTTGATTAACATAAATACGATAGAAGAACTATAGAATCAAGCGAATTATATTGCTTTAATTGTAACTTCATGGTCTGGTCTAAGAAAAAAATTGGGTCATTACTCTAGCAGGACAAATGGAAAACCTTGATTTGATCGAGAATGTCATATTTGAGACTCTTTAATGACCACAATTAATAGTATTCAACTGTATGGAGTTGGCCCTGCCCTGATTCGGGGGCTCAGTGACCTATTAGTCTATATTCCTCTAAATCTTTCAATTGATGTTAGCAATAAGTGAAAACCACGTTTGATACTACATGGCATACGTAACTACTAATAAGACATTATAACTTCTTAAGCTAAACAAAAATCTCATAATCTGATACACCCTTGATAAAATTGATGACATGATCATTTTGTCTCACGATATCTTGATATGAAAGACGTCGATCTTATATCGTTTTATTTTTAATTTCTCAGTATCTAATTAGAGTAATTGAACAATGAAAATGATGTTTATCAATCTGTTTGAGCACGACCGTGCATTTCTTTACCTTCTTCTCTGCAGTTTTATTTTATTTTATTTTTTTAAATTCTTCTCTGCAGTGTTGTGCATTTCTTTTGGTGTCTTGTATTTTGTTATAATGTGTTAAGATGTTGTTTAGTTTAGCTTTATTCTAGGGGCACATTTTTCTTCCTTCTGTTATCTGATATTGAACCTTCCCATTTTCTTTAAAAACATGCAAATGAGTGAAACATTTAACCCATATTACATTAATTATATTTATAACATAGTTTTGATTTTTCAAATAATATAATGGGATTCATAATGTAATATAATAGTATAATTAGTTGGATGTTACACTATAATATAAAAAGCTGTAAACCGCCAGCTATTTCATGTTGGTTCCTACCGGATTGGCCGCCTGTAGTTGATGCCTGCCTGTGTGTATGGGGGGTTTAACATATGGTTGCCACAATGACACAGAAGCAGCAGGGCGGTTATGATGTGCCTGGCGACCTGAAAATTCATCGGAATGTAATGGGAGGCCGCTTACGGAAATTGATGATAAAGGCCTAAATAGCTGCAAATGTGAAGCAGGATCATGAATTGCAGTGCCTATTTGATGACTTCCTGCGGAAGAGGAGACGATACCGATACGTGGAGGTCTAGTTGTTGGAGTGCCTGAGAAAAATGCCCAAGGGTTATAAACCTGCAATGGTGAAGCCATGGTTTGTGCATAGACTACTGCAGGAAAAACAGTTTGCATGCTGATAGCTGAGGCAGCTGAAGGGAGACCGGATGCCCTATTATCCGTACATTTAGACCTGAATGCATCGGCCAACATCTTATTCTTGACAACTTTACTGTAATTCACATCAAGCTCCTTTTGCTTGACAAGAAACTCTGCTTCTTTCTCATTGATTTTAGCATCATACTTTCTACGAATCTTAGCTACAGCCAGTTCGATCTTCTTGTCACATTCCGATTTCAGCTGCAGCTTCATTTCTTTGTGAATCTTGGTGGTTTGCTCTTTTTCTTTCATTATTCTTTCCATTTCGATTTGAAGTGGATCATGATACAATGTCAAAGGCATCCGAGATGAAACGGCAGGTGCAGTCCTCAAGGGAAGGACATTAGAAACAAGTGGGATTGGAGCTTCCCTCGGAGCCTGACAACTTTGGTTGGAATTATGGCCTCCGTTGTTTGGTCGATGCTCGACTGCACTAACAACTTTAAGTTCCACAACGTTGGCATTAGGATTGGACACGTTGCGAGTCACATCAATGGCACCATTAAATGTTGAAGTTTCTGCTGTCTGGGATGTATTTTGCATTTTATTGTTTGCACGGCATACTGCTGCCACTTCAGGGGAAGAATACGGAAGAAAATCAATATTTGTGAATACCGGGTTCATACGTTCTGGGAGTTCAGATTCCTTGTTCATAATGCATAGTACGCCAACCTGCTGGTCATTAGAATCAGATGGGACTGGGGCTTCCCTTGTGTCTGAAGCCTGCAAGACATCTTGATTGGAGAGCTCAATATGGTTTGCCACTGATTGCCTTGGAGCCTGAGAACTTTGGTGGGCGGTTTGGTCTTCATTGTTTGATTGATGCTCAACTGCACTAACAGACGGTAGATTGGGAGGAGAGCGGTTAGAAGTTGATTCAGAGGATCTCATCTGCCGCAATGACTCTGTAAGTTCCACAATTGCACCATTAAATGTTGAAGTTTCAGCTGCCTGGGGAGCATTTTGCATTTCACTGTTTGCAGGGCTTCCACTTCAGAGGAAGCATATGGAAGAGAATCGACGTATGTGAATACTGGATCTGATGAACGTTCTCGGAGTTGAGATTCCCTGTACATAATGCATAATGCGCCATCATCCTGCTGGTTGTTTTCCATGGGATTTGTTCGACCCTTCTCTCTTTGAACACTGCCACCCTCTAGGACTTCACTAGGAGCAGTTTTAGTTTCTGCCAAAGAGATCTCTTTAGCAGGCATAAGAACAAAATTCTTGCGCCTCTTTGCAACTTGAGCACTTTCATCCTGAGGTCTTTCTTGTAACTCATCGAAACAACGAACCCTTTTCCGGTTCCTCCAGTAAGTAGAACACTTCCACCTTGGATGTTTTCCCTCCAAAAGCTCTGTCCAAAATGTGTGGGGTTCATCTTCATCCATCACTTGAATCTTCTGCTCACCAAACAATGGCATTTCTGTCCTATACAGTCCCTGATTCTGTTTGGCTTGTAGAATGAGGGACAACTCGCTCATATCGTCTCTCACGGTTCGATGCAGTATGGTAAGAAATTCTTGAACCACATACTGTAAATGTGATTGGTGAGACAAGGTACTTGCACTGTCATGAAATATTTCCAGTTGACTGAATAGGTATGAAGCACCCCATTGAAGCAGCATGTGACTAGTACAAGGGCTTATGTTCTCCACGTTGCTGTCAATCGTCTTATCTTGTTTTGCAAGAATCAGAAGCTTTTCCTCCAAGGTAAACGATGAATATAATCGAAATACTCTGATTTGCTCAAACCGAGAATCAAGGGTTATCCTCTGAAGGGCTCTTAGATCATTCACCGGGCTCCAATTACTACCAAATATGATCACAGCACCAACTGCAGATAACTTGATGCTGGGGAGGCACGCACGAGTTTCCAACAGAAACACAAATCTCTCCTTCTCATCGTTGAATCTTTTCAAAGCAGATCGCTTCTTCGAAGCGATGATACCATTATCGACACGTTCATAAGAATCAATGCCGAATCTTTGAAGAAGAAAGTCATCCAAAATATCTCCCATCAAATCCCTCCCGGAACCACCAATATAGTGGAAAAGGATAAGCACTTTTGAGCCTAGTTTCTTGATCTCCCTAAGCATTTCATCAAGAAGTTTTAACTTGCCACTTGCTTCTATTCCAACCTCCCGCAGGGATTGATCCACATCACAGGGATGATCGCAACAATGTCGATTCGAGACGAGAATGCTACGGAGAACTCCGATCGGATCAGTCTTTGAAGGCGAGCAAAGAGATCGAGAATTCGAAAGTAGGGTAGAACAATACTTGTGTTGTTGCACATTGGATAGTTGAACAGAAACCCAGTACTCAAGAAACCTAGATGATTCTTCCAGCTTTGTTGAATTGCAGTCAAGCCTTTGTCTTTTGCAATCGGATGAGAATGAAGTTACCACATCAATACTTGACAGTCTCGGAGAAGCAACAGAATCGATGCTCTTATCACACCTCTTCGATCCTAAAGAAGCATATTTCCTCAAAGGATTAGCATTCTTCTTCGTTTTTTTCTTTCCAACTCGCTCACTTTTCCGGTTCTCGGAAGTCCGGTTCTTCAGACGCTCCGACCGCCGTGTACCGGAACAACATTTTCATTGTAATTAGCTTTCCTACTAGATGACCTAGTGCCAACCGCCATACCTGAATATTAGTCTAGGAGGAAGTTTCTCAAGAAATTCTAAAGAAAAAACACTTAAGATTTAATTGCAAAAAACCCTAATGTCTAACCTAATTTTTGGTTTATAAAGTTAAAAGATATTCAAAGTAGATTTTTATATAAAAATAAATAAATATTACATTTTTAAATAAATTAAATTTATTATTATTTTAAATTAGTTTATGTAATATTAAATTCGAGTATAAAATGAAAGGCCTCTCCTCACAAAATTTTTATTTATACAAAATTTTTATTCGAGTATGTTTTTGTTTCGTATATTTATTTATATATTTAAAACTCTTAATTATAGCATAAATTATGTACGTGATTATTTAATTATAAAAAGATGAGGAAAATTTTAATTTTAGTATTAATCTTTCAGTTTTATAAATCGAATCAGTTAACTATTTAAATGATGTTATAATCAAATTACTTATCGTTTCAATAATAAAAAATAAATCATAAATATTATTTTTATAATAAATCTATATAATATTTGTTAAAAACTAATCGATTTAAGAATTGAATACCAATAAATATATAATCTTGAATTTCCTTACAGTTTCATCAACATATATTCAAGTCACTTAAAACTTTTTCTCAGCATTATAAAGTAATTACGTTATGAAAAAATAAAAGGACCCCAAGAAATCCACGTAGAGTTGCATTAACGATGCTTGTATACCATTTTTTTCTTACATGTGTTTGTTTAATCGGAAAATTCTGGAAACAACATTATCAAGAAAAGCAATGGAAAGAAAAACAATAATTACAAGAAAGAAAATTTCACAATCTTACAAAGACTGAAAGAAAAAAAGTGCAATGACTGAAAGAAAAGTAGAGATACTATATTCCTGGAAATAGGAGTAGAGGGACTAAATTTCAAATATACAAAAAGTGCAATGACTTGAAACATATCAATACAACAAGGTTTTAGGGCGATCTGATGCAGGGAAACTGGAGAAGGAAACGCCCATAACGGGGACGGCGAAAATTGATTCCATCAACATTCTTTGTTGCAAAGCCTCGACGCTTGCACTTGCTTTCACTAGATCCTTGATCAAGTTCCTATAATGTTTCTTTAGCTTCCTCAGCATGCAATCATATTGCAACTTCACCCATTTTATCTTCTTCTTCAAAACCTTCACTATGTAAACCCTCCCCCGTGGTTTCTTCCCGCCGAGTCGAACCGTGGGTAGCTTATTCTTTTGTCGGCGGAGGAAGAAGATTCTCCGCCGTGGGTAGTGGTGGTGGGCTTGGAATGTGATGGCTAGATGAGGCTTGGGGGTGGTTTGATGGTCTACAGCCATGCTTGTGTAAAGGGGTATCTTTGAGAGAGATTTAATAGAGTGTGAGGATACAACTTTAAAGGGGAATTAAGAATTGAGAAAGCAGCTCAGTGAAATAATATATTTAGAAATATTTTTGAGGGAAAATATATAATAGAATTTTTATTTGTTAGTATAGAATTTAGATTTCAAGATGAGTACTTGGTCGGGTTAATATTATTTGTATATATCATGTAGGTTTGATTTTGATCTATAAATTTATAATATCATAATTATATTTTTTAAATAGTATAATGTGATTATAAAATAGTATATGTTTATAATTTTATAACATTTTGATAACGTACATCACACCCTGCAAATACAATTGCTCAAACTCAAATCCTTAGGAGAACAATATTCATTTTTAACACCGATATTACTCAATAAATTCTCTTACTAATAATATCTAAAATGAATAATTATCAATTTATCTGATATTTACGCATCAATAAAATCATTAAAAAAATTAAAGAATCGACTGATATAATAAATACATTCAGATATTGCATTAAATGAATGAATTCTACGTAGAAACCAAACATCAAATAAACACATTATAGTATATATTAATACATTTGTGGAAGAAATGCTCGAGTGTTAACTATGAAGTATATTTTTGTCTTAAATTTTCATTATCTCCTTTTTGTCGCTTTAACAGTGGCCAGACGCGTGAAATATTGTAGTTTTTTCATCGAATATTTCCTTCGAGACACAAGTGTAATATCAACGTCCATTATGGGATTGTAAATATAAATATTAAACATTTATTAAATAACTTCAAATTAAATTTAAACACGAAACAGCTCATACAAATGCCAACGAATGTGACAATTATAGTTATCTTTTTTCTTTAAAAAAATCATAAAATATAGTTTGCTAGTACCTATAGGAATCACTAGCGATAGTAGGGTGTGCAAATTTTCAACTTTACACTACATCATGGATTACGCTTAATATGATCAAAGTACATAAAAAGACAAAATTTTAGAGTATTTATTAATTTTAGGGTTAATTAATATATAAGTGTTATACTGGTGATCGTAATGGTGGATTACTTAGCTTTTCGAACGGTTGGTTTTGTGTGTCGTCTTGTAAATCGCACCGGCGCTTCACTTTTGAACCTTTTTCATTAAATCAATGAGTCATTTATTAATAATTTTATGAAAGGAAAAAAAATACATGGATACTGTTACAAACCTTCGTTGTTATTAGTTATATGTATGGTATATGTTCTTTGTTCATAGTTAAGAAAGATTATGAATATATAATATTTTATAATCATCTCAGACTATTAAAAAAAGAAATGTTTGAACCTATATAACGACTTTAATGATTAAGTGAAATATTATTCTCTCTAGAAGTCTTGAGTTTGAGCAGTTATGTCTGCAAGATGTATGGTGTCAATAACTAAAGAAAATATGAATATATATTTACATTCTAATCACCATAGATTATTAAAAGTATATATTACTTGTTTATATTACTAGCCAAACAATATTCTTTGTAGAAATAAAACTTCATTACTATCAACTTTAAATAATAGGTGAATTATATAAATAATTATTGAAGCATGAATAAATAGTTATGAGGAATAACGGATATGAGATGAAGTAGATAAAATAGTTATGTTGTTAACTTTATTTGTTACAAAATAATAATGTTAGTGATATTTTTATTAACCATTTATGTGGTTTACCTTTTATATTTTTTAAGTAAGAGTCAAAGTGGAGGGTAAAAGGGGGTAATTTTATATTAAAAATCCAAAATAAATAATTATTTAAAAAAATAGAGCCCTACATAAATTATTTGGAAGAATAACCCCTAAACCGTCCACATCAGACAACCTTACGGCCTGCAAATCGAGTGTTAAATCCTTGCACCCTCCAACAGGCGAGATACATTCGACGTGGGCGCACTTTCGAGGTAAGCTAATAAAACAATTAGATAAAATGACATCGCGTATTGCGAAGCGTGAGGTAGCCTTTATGATCCAAAATATCACGAGATTTATGGGGGCCTCACGGCCTGCAAAGCACGAGGTTCTTTCGAATTCAAAAGCCTAATTTGAAAGTAGAAATTAAATGAATATAATAATAATAATAATAATAATAATTAATAATAATAATAATTAAATATAATAAATAATTAAAATATATACATATAGTAATTAAAATATATATATTTTATAAAAAATAATTATAATATATTTTGTAAATTTTGAAATAATGAAAAATTATATGTGTGAAATATTAAATATAATTAATAATTAATAATAATATAATTATAATATATGTTGAAATTTAAAAGATAAAATTTGGTAGCAATCTCACGTGTTGCAAACCGCGAGGTATTGGGAAAGGAATAAATTCTGCGAGTTTTCAACGTAACTCGCATCTTGCAGGACGCGAGTTGCATTTAAAATCGCGCTTCCCCAGGTACGAGAAGGGATATAAATAAGCTCCTCTCCTCCTATTCATCACCACACCCTTTCATATATTTAAAGATTTAAATATTTCATATCACGGCGGCGAATCTCTTATGACATGATCGAATTCACGTATTCGATTATTGGAGGCGAAGTGATGAGGTAAATTAATTAATATTATTTTGTATTTACTATTTATTTATTTATTTAGTTTATTTGTTTTGGTATTTAAATAATTTTTTAATATTTATATTTCGTATAGATATGAATGTGTATTAGAGTGTCATATAAATCGTGTGACACCGCCCGATGCAAATATTATTGACTATTTACATTTAGCAGATTTTGGATATATTAGTAATATAATTGGTGACGCTGTGAAGTTGCATCCTCCACTTATAAATACGTTGATCGAAAGATGGAGACTGAAGACACACTCGTTTTATTTACCGTGTGGGGAGGCAACTATTATCCTGCAAGATGTTGCATTTCATCTGGGGTTGCCTATTGATGGAGTAACTATTACTGGTGTTGTCGGTGCCTCTGGAAAAGTATGTGAGGTATTGCTCAGAATTAATTCGCCTGATGATGCACGCGATGGTGGAAAAATGAAAATTAAATTTTTAGATGAAAATTTTACAAACCTACCCCAGAATGCGAAGCATGAAGTGAATAAGGTAAATATAAATGTTTTTATCTATGAATATTTATTACTATTTCAATTTATTTATTTAATTTTTTTGGAAATTAAGTAGTTATATTATTTTATTAATTTTTTAAGCGATGTACTCATACGCTTATATTACGATTTATTGGAGGATTTTAATGCCATACAAATCTCGAAATAAGGTGCATCTGATGTGGTAGAATCATTTAAAAATTTTGACTGATTCAAGAAATATAAGTTGGGGTTTACTGTTTTGGTATTTTTGTTCTGACAGCTTTGTAGAGTCGTAGATCCAACGAAAAATGTCATTGGAGGGTGTTTATTGTTGTTGTATTTGTGGGCCTGGATCCGAATGCCATTTTTAAGCCCGATCTTTAAAATACATGGCTCATATGAATTTTGGTTACTTAAAAGGTAAAAAAATAATTTTTATCTATTTTTTATAATATTACTAACATATAATACAATTTTATTGTATTAATGATAGGTGGACTGATGAAACCTCTCACGCCCACTTACCAACACATCAACGAGACTTTAGACTCTTGATCGATAAGTTTGGACATCAAGTAATAAAATATTTTCCTTCAACTTTTATCTTATAATTTAAGAATAATTTAATTTATTTGAGATTTTTAGCTAACAAAGTTATACAATTTTAATTTTATAGTTCCTGTGGACACCTTACTACGATGTTGCTATTGCCGACTGTATATCGTATGAGATTCAGGTGACTAATGCACCCATGTACATTGTGTTAGTCCCACTGATCTTGTATGAGATAGTCTAGTGGCATCTTACCGAGTGCATCATCCGATAATTTAACTATGTCCAATCAATTTTGCCATATCACCTTGCTTGGATGAGTTGCATCGATTGACGCGACAAGGGAAGACAAAAATTAATTGGGCGAACCATAATTCGATGTATCTGAACGAGTGGGTCTGAAGATTCAAGAGGGCGCCCATGACTCAACCCATCTTTGACCACAGCGTGACATACGATTATATGTGGTGGTACCAAGAATATGAGATGCCACATATATTGATCGATGAGAAGCGGGCGAGCGAATTATATGTTCCTCCACAGAGTCACTCACGGACGGGGAGGCAACATGGGGGAGTCATGGAAGATAAGAAGAAGATCATCATCCTCATTAGCAACAACACAGGGACCTCCTCAGATACCGCAGACACATACTGACCTTGTCTTCACCCACTCAACTCAATCAACATTTAAGCAAATGGGACAGTTCTCAGAATGTTTCCTCACCAATATCTTTGACCAATTGAATTCACCACTGACACAATTGGTGGCTAACTTTGGATCCAATATTGTTAACCAGACGCCGCCGTAGAGCATATTCTACACTAGTCCTGGTTTCAGTGCCAATGGTGGACCGATTCCATATATAGTTGTTGGTCCTAATGATTATATTGTTGAAGAGGAAGAGGAATCGTAATTATGTCCACGTCGGGCTCCTCATCTACCACGATGTAGAACTGGTGTACATAAACATTATTAGATGTTATTTATTTTGTTCTTCAAAACTAAAATATTTGTACTAAATTAAAAACTGAAATATTTGTACTAATTTTTTTTTATTTTGATTTAATCAAAATATTTTCATTGAAAACTGCACTATGTATCCCGCGATATCTATAGTATGTAAGCAGAACCACATATTTTACAAAACACGAGATACCAAGATGTCGCACCCTTTAACCCGCGTTATTTGGAAATCGCGCCTTCCAACCCGCGAGGTTCTTGAAATAAAGAAACTGTAATTTAGTATTATCGGGCAACAACTCAACTAAAATGTCGAGGAGAGAAAGCCTTACTGCTTTGGTATATTACGATGATGAAATGATCGGTGATGCATCTATC